CAAAAACAAAAACAACAACAAAAACATGGAAAAAAAGGCCCTGTAGAAGTACATAATAGGAATGAAGGGGTTTTTTTAAAAAAAAAAAAAGGAAGAGAATTTTCATTCTACTTCTTCTCTAATTAAATCTCATTTTGTCCATATGACAAAAAGCATAACTACTATTTAAAGTTTTCCTAAATATTGAGTAAAAATAAACAAGCTCTGCATCTGGCTTAGGAAATAACAAAGGACAATTACCTGTTTACACTAGGGACATGACTCAAAATCTCCATATTCCATACGGAGAGTATCCTTTTCCTACTTTTGCAGGCCTAATAGTGACAGTGAGTGATTTAGGGGAAGACAGGGAGAATACACAAGTCTACATAAGCACTTCTGAGCCCATTTTCATCCAAACAAATTGGCTTTTGATTCTTATATATATTTTATATTAAAAGTTGGGGGCTTTTTCTCAATTTTACTGTACAAGGTAAAATTTAGAAAATATACTATATGAACTGTCTTCCATTGCTTCTAAGGCCATTTTTTTACTGTGTGGGTATCAAAAGGTCCCTAGTGCAAAACAGTTTAAGCTCATTGATTTTAAATAGTCCTATCTAAATAAAAGCAAAATTTGGCCCCGAATGCCTCTAAGCAGAAAATTCTGTTACTGTCATGAATATCTTAAATGTAATCGTTTTTCTTTTAATTAACATTCTAAAGAGAAGAGGAAGTTGGAAATCCAGATAAATCTGTTATGAGTCAATTAAGAAGCTAGGATTAGCATATGCAATCAAGATGGGTGCAGCAGGATTTCATGGAAGAGTTCATGAGGAAGCAACCAGGATGTATCATTTGCATGGGCAACCTCCTTGGTTTGTGTTCTGCTCAACCTCAGTATTGTTGACTTGACTCACTGCATGAATATTGCCAAGCAGTAGCAAACCACGATTTCATTTTCCTGCTTGCCCAGATACAACTTACCTTAACTTGCAGTTTTAAAAAAGACAAATCATATTAACTATGGCAAACAGTATTGATCCTTTTTTTCTTTCTGCAGATATTCTTTTTAATAAAATCTTTTCCTAAACCCCAGTTGTATGAATATGCTGTAGACTGTCCTACTCTTTCCTGCATCAGGCAAATGATATTGAATACCCCTCTTAAACTAAAGTGGAATACCTCACACATAGGCCACCTGAACAATGGAAGCCTTTATCAGCGGGTGATTGATTAGTGGAAGGTATAAAAGGAATTGATGATCTCACACAAGTTACTATCAGATAAGCATTTATATTCTAAAGCCGATGGACAATTTACAAGAGAATGCAGCACTTTTATTTTTGTTTTTGTTGTTAGGGGTTGTTTGGTTATTTGTTTGGGATTTTATGAGTACAGAGCTTGAAACTTTTAACATTTTCAGCCATCGTGGAGAATCTATCTTTCCATGGTGCATCTTTTCTTCAACTAAACCAAAGCTATGAGTATCCCAGGATAAAAAACTAGCACTTTCCTAACTTCCCATTTCACAGAAACAAGAATTCAAGGCTTTTGAAATATGATACTCAATGGTAATAAAAATAATTTAATATATATATGTGATCTCAATTGTTTTGAGAAAAGCTGTACATAGCACTGCAGAACAATACAAATTTAGTACAGCTGCTGAAAGACAGTCATGACTGAACTCATTTTCAACATATGGCATGATTTTGCTTAGATCTACACATTGAAGAAGTTTGATGAAAACTAAACAATTGTTCATAGATCTCAAGCCTCAGTTACCATAGTTCACAGAAAGCCATACACCTAATGCCAGTTAAGAAAGCTATTTGTTTTGTAATGACTACAACAAGAGTATAGAGCATGAAGAAATGAGGGAAACTGAATTTCAGCCACCTGAAGCTGTGTTAAAAGCTCATGTCTGCTTTTGCTGACTTCACAATCAGTAGTTATGATAGGCTTTGCACAACACTGCTTTTCCATGTGTTGACCAAGGTTTACATTAATACTAGTTTAACACAAGATTTGATACCTTCAGATTCAACAAAGAAAATTATACTACTTCACAAATGTAGTTTCCTAATTTGATTTTTTTGGAAAAAAACAAAACACAAATCTGAGTTATTTGTGGGGGTTTTTTTGAACATGCTGCACAATGAAAGATGGCAAGGCCCTGACATTGTAGTAAAGACTGACCACTATAATCATGGCAAAGACAAGCCTTTATTGCAAGACAGAGATTTCAAAGTCTCAAAAGAAACACATCTACTGCACCTTCTTTTCTCTTACTGAATCTTGCTCAGTTATATTTGTCTACATCATAGTCAATCTAAAAAGGGGAAAAAATAGAGTAAGGAACCCTACAATTCAGAAATGCTCTACAGGGACTACATTTTTTAGAGGGTGTAAACACATTAGAATATATCAATGTATATGAACAAATTTGTGTAGAAGGGTGTGTTTCAGAGGCTTCTCAATGTGTGCACACTATTAAAATCTGTCTGAGATCTGTTTGGAGAAAGCAACAATTATATTTCTTATTAAAGAATATGCAATTATAGCCTCTTAGCACTTCCTGCTTCCTTCAACAATGAAGACCTGTCTGTACTGAAGATTATAAAGTCCTCCACTGTTTCACTGGGTCACCAGACTAAACAGGCCAATCCACTTTCACGGCAATTTATTCCAGATTTTCTCTTTTGGGCCAACTTCTTTTATAATAAAACTGGGCCTAGCAGGAGATTTACATCACTGTCACTGCAGGAGAGCTAGACCCTGTAAAACGACATAGAATGCTGTTTAAACTTAAACACTAAAAACTTCTGTGAAGTCCCTAATGTATTTATTCTCCTATCTATTATTTTTTTTAATTCTTCATCAGACATTGACAAATACGGTTTTCAGACTTCTCAAGTTTCCACAAAAGTTACCACAGCCATAGTTCCTTTTTGTTTATGGTATTTGTCTGTCATCAGAAAAACCGGAAAGTCTACAGTTCAGATTTCTCAGGATCATAAATGGTTTGATTAAACTACAGATGTTAATTAAAACCCAAATCTGTATCTTTATGCATAGCCAGAATAACCAGCTTGTTAGCTAGGGAAAGCCCAAGATATTTAGAATATCCATATTGTAGGATGTGGATCACAAATGGGAGGGTTCCAGGGCAGCTTTGTAACCTCCTCTTCAGTTGTATCAAGCAGGTTTGGGGAAGGGAACACACATGGGACAGACTGCCTGAGCAACTGTGCCCATACATCCTATAAGTGGCAAAAGCAGTCAGTTATGCCACAGCAGAGGAAACCTGTGCACTGGACTGCTGGCATGTTGTTACCTATTTTTTGAGGAATATACTGCCCCCTGATTTTGCAAGTTTTCAAGTAGGCAAAATGAAATTATTTTTAAAGGAGGAATAAGCATCTTTGAATATAATTACACTTTCCCCAAGAAAGGTCAAAATTTTCATATGTAGTTCCATTTTAATTTAGATAAATTCCATAAAAATATAATTCTAAGCTTGTATCCCACAGGACTCAAAACCAATATGAGTGTCTAGCCATGCTAGCCATTAGAGCATCTAATGGGAAACATAGTGAGAATTTTCATTATAAATAAAACGCAATCCAACAGTTTCCTGTGCGGTCCTTTGCCATACAAAGTAAAAATGGACAAGAAACTCTACTCAGAGAACCATTACCACCAGATATCAAGTACTGGTGTTAATATGAAACCAACTGTATGAATTATCAGATACTGATTTATATGGCCTAACCCTATAAAGGCTTTTGGTGCTCCAAAACTAAATTTTTCATCCCATGGTTCCCTACCAGGTATCCAGTATCATGTTTAAAAGTGTGACCCTCCTGTGGCATACGTAGGGAGACACTTGGGTGGCCTGGAAAACAGCCAGCACAGCGTGTCTTGACCTCAACATAAGATGAGTGGAGCTAACCAGGGAAAACATGAGGTTTGTCCCAAATCTAAAATCTTGCCTCTTTCTTAAGCCAGCGCTCTACCTGAGGGTTACCTCTAAAGACAGGGCTGTCTGAGAGGTGCCTCCATCCACTCAGAATCTACACCCTGATTCTTTTTATGAAAATATGTTCCTGTGATCTTTCCTTCAAAACTTATGTTTTATTAAAACATAGCTGGAGGAAAAGCTGGCTTCTCATCTCCCTCTATATAACAACTCTATGATTAGAGCACTCACACAATCATGGGATTCATCTCTCCTGCCCTGAAAGGCCCCAATTCACAACTCCTCTCACCCCAGGGAGGACTCTGACCACCAGGCTGATGGTTATTTTAGAAGAGGCAGTCTCGACCCTTCTGCTGAAACAGCGCCCTTGAGCACAAATGAATTCAAGATCATAATCTAATGTTTAGGTTATTCCCAGGGCTGGGGCACACACTGAGTTTTCTCGGGATTATTTCTGTCTTCACTATGTTAAATTGTTGTGGAATACACAAAACATCCCCCTCAAAAAAAAAAAAAAAAAAGTAAAAATAGTCCTGGGAATAAGTCCTATCATTACTGCTGTGACGCTGCTGCACTTTGTCAAAAAGCCAGTCATGTCAGGGAATCTGGGCACACTCCAGAAGTGACCAGGAGGCCAAGATGACCAGGACACTTGAGTGGAAGAATATCGCAGTACTGATGTCCAGAGGACTTGGGTGGGCATGAACACTCCTGGAAAGCCACTTGGAAGCCACAGGTGGAAAAGGAACTAACTCCAAGGCATGAATCATGACAGGCAAACGTAGTGCTTTGAGGTTTAGGCAACTGCTTAGCAGAGGTTTTGTGAATCACAGCTGTTTGTTCAGATGTTTCAATTCTAACTGAGTTCCACATTTCACACCATCCAGATCCTCTTATTGATCAAAACACAAGTATTGACAGAGACATCTTTGTGCTCACCAAAATATCTTTTTATTTAAGAAAAAACAGCAGCAATTACCAAAGAGAGTTGACATGGAAAGCATTGAGTTGTTACCTTCACAGCATAATCCTTGTCATAGCTCAGCTGACAGACTGATTATTCAAAGTATGGTGCACCTACGGCTGGGAATCATATTGCAAGGCTTAGGGCTTGACACTAAAACTGCCCTGTCTGTCGATAAATCCCACAGAAAGAATTTTGCTAAATCTTATTTTCACTTCACAATATTCCCAAGGTGAATATATAATTTTGCGGAAGTAAAAAATTTATTTTGACATTTGACTTCCACTCCATGATAGAAACATTAGCAAAAAGCCCTACTAACTAGATGTTGTAAACTCCAGACCAAAGACATGTTGCTTTAAAACTTCCTCATTCTGGTCATGTTCTGTTTAGGCCCCTACAAAATCTCTACATTTCTAGTAACAAAATGTATTTTTGTCTCTAAAGACAAACAGTATGTGAGATGTTTAATATTATCACCTATAGCAGGAAAAACTTTTTCACTGAACTTACCAAGAATACAAGAAAAAAGGTAAATTTCTTCTCTTTCTTCTGTGTTTGTAAACCTATTTACCAAGACCTAGTGGCACACCTTGTAACGCCTAGTTAGGTATTTAAAATTGCAACATGACTACAAGTTAAATATAATTCGTGAAATATATGCCATATTTGATAAAAAATGCATGTAGTCAGAATCATATGATGATTTAATTTGCATAGATGTAAAACCTGAATTTATTATACACAACCTATATTCATAAAAGTAGACAGTCACCTGGTTCTCTTCACTGGTTTAATCTGGCAGTCCCTCACTAGAGGCAACAGAATTTTTAAAAGCAGTCAAGATGAACCAGACACCAAGGGGAAGGAGAAAAGAACAGACAATGAGCAGGAAAAATGGTTCACACAAATATTAATATAACTCCTTCAATCCTTTAAAAAATTACACTTTTTAGACTGACAGAAGATGGAGAGAGCAGTCAGACAAAAGAGAAGTGAGTTTGATATCACTGATGTACCCACAATAAGTTGATTTTTTTCCTAAAGAGAAGTTTTAAAAGGAAATATACAGGACGCAGCTTACTTTTTTAAGTAATCCAAAGATCTCGTGTAAGAGATGTGGAACAGAAAGTAGTTACCATCTTGGAGAGAAGCTGAATGGACTGACGTACTGTGTAACATCAAGGCTGGAAAACACAGGTCTTCACTAAGTGACTGGAGGACACTTAAGCCAGTCTGGAGACAGATAGATGAATTTGTTATTACTGACAGGATTCCCATTTCAGAAAACAAATTTTCAGGAGAGACATTCAGATAGTGAGGTGGCATAGGCTTAAGCTTGGGAGATTGGTGTCTAACCAACAAGGAGTAGAATAATCAAGACTGCAGAAATACCCTGGCGATACATTCAGAAAAGTCTGACTACCTTCCACTGAGTCAATAGTGAGACGGAACACCAGACAAGGTTGAGGTACTGCTGATAATGGTCACTTGCACCTAAAATATGCACAGAAGGCTACAATGCATGGTTGTATTTGTTCACTACCATTTTCATCTACAACAGGTAATGCTTATAACCAGTTGGAACACAGTTACTCAAACCACGTCTTAACATTTCAACAAGCAGCTGAGATATCTATGTGTAGACCATGCTAGTATGCAGGTTTCTTTGTTATGTTTCACAAGTAACAACATATAAATAGTTTACAAAACCTTGGCTGTGGGTTTTTTATGTTAAGAAGGAAAAAAGACCCAAATGTTATTTTCAGTTTCTGATGTGCTTAGTTTAAAGCAAACCATGAAAAAAGCAAACAATCGTAGGGCATGCTAGGTGGCATGTAGTTTTTTTCACTCATATAGCATTATTCATATACTACAAGCTGGAAATAAACCATACTTGGTAATGTACATATTACTTGAGAACAACATAAGTATCTGAGCATTCCTGAGAGTTCTGTTGCTCATCTGTAATTTCAGGCAGAAGATGGCCTTCTCTGTCAATCATGGGTAAACATAAATCTCAAGTATCCACACATTTATGCAGCGTTTCTTCTTGATAATGAACATTTCATTTTCCCAGCAAACATCAGATAGAGAATGTATGTATTTGGTTCCTGGATCTATGTGGATGCTTTTAACCCCATTCTACTCCTCGCTGAACTTCGTTTTCCACCCCTCTCTACTCATGTCTAAACATAAAGATATTTACATGTCTGAAAGGAACTGGAAAGCAACTGGGATATTTCCCAGAGGATTTTAAAGCTCTTCTCACACAAAAGAGTCACAGTAGCACTTTAATAAGGAGCACCTCAGGAAAGGTCTCTGACATAGTTACAATTAGCAGATTCATCACTTTCACTATCTCACTTGTAAGTGAAAGATGAAAACAGAAATATTTTCAGTTAGTATTACCCTTCCCTGGAATCACTTATGTCTGTAGCCCTTATAGAATGGGTCATCAATAAGATGGTCTTTGGATAAACGTACTTTTACATACTATTCAAAGTCCCTGCAACTGGTGGGACTTTGAAATCTCATGTATATCTTTCCTTGGCAGGTTCTAAATCCACAAATTCATGAGTAGCTTATTGTGATTCATATGCCACTTTCATTTTTGGCAGGTAATGCTAATGGTATTGGAGAATGACTATTTGAATGAGATCTGCACCCACTTCCCTCAAAGCAGGACTCTAAAAATGCTCAGAATGGAGCTGTCAGCATAAATAAAAAAAATAAAATTTAAAAAAAAGCCAACACTTATTCTGTATAGGGTTTTGACTGTACCATTCCAGGCACCAGGGATGAGCAGGATGAGCAAGACTTTCTAAAGTTCCTGTAGAAGGCTGGGCAAGCAAACATCTAGGGGTGGACATTGAGGAAGAGGAAATGTCTACGTGTCAGTAACAGGAAAGTTATATTGTATGCCTGCTTTTTAGGCATGCCATCTGTGCTCAGTCATACCATACAGCTTTCATGACATGTCACAGCTAAAGGGCAGGCAATATATGTCTTGCTTCAGTGACATGAATGACACAACTTGGTACATAACTCTCAAACACAGTATATGGTTGTCCCATATGTTTTTCAATGTTTAGACCCATGCTAAGTATTTTGATACTGAAAGCACTGAAAGTGCATTATAGTGAAAACTGATGCACACTAGGTAAGCAAGAGCACCTTACCTATACTAATGCTGGACTTCTCATTGTGTTTTGTTGACCTGTAACTACACCATAACATTCAGCAAATATTGTTTACAGGAGCCTAATAACAAGCAATTCTGTTCCCATTACTGCTCACAATCTCATGTTAAATATTTTTTTCCAAAGTAAACTGGCCTATGTAGTTGAAAGGTACCACCACACTTTTTTTTTAAAGCTGGATAAATCTTATCTTTACAAAAGGAACTGTGAGCTAAAAAAAAAAAATGTATTTTGACTAACGTACAAAATTGATGAAAAATAAGGTTTACGTTACATTTCTTTTTTAAAGAAGCATTTTCCATAGTACACTTAAGAATCTTTAAGAGGGAGCTTGGTCTAAATTCAGTTCCAGTCCTGGATCTGCTCTTAAATCCATGTGTAGCCTCAGGCAAATGTGTTAATTTTCCTGTTTCAGTTTCCCTGCCTTTAAAGTAGGGATAACGCGACTAACCCACATAGCTTAGCTGCAATTTGTAACAATGAGTAACTTGACTATTAGATTTCTGAGACATGAAACATGATTATTATTAGGGCTTACTGACCAGCCAGTCAGAAATGTGATACAAAATAAAGGAGATGGATCTTTGACAATAGAAGATGCAGGTTAGTCAGTCAGTCAGTCTGAGCAGCCCTGTGAGGAGGCAGCTCTAGGGAGGGGGTAGCTGGACTCATAAAAGTGAGAATGTCCCCTTTGTACTGATTTCCTATTTATTACCCCATGGTATCAAAAGACCATAGAAAGCTAAATTCTCTCTGAGAAATGAATAGGTCCAAAGCACTACAACAAATCAGCTGCAGGCAAATAAATTTTTATCTGTGTAAGTGAGCTTGATGTTATTTTCTAGTGGAAATGTCAGAATTGATTAAAGACCTAGCATTTCTATCTAAACTGAGAATAGTGAATGATATGTTTTAAAGGGAGAAAAAGTCAGAGGACTGATAACATGGAGATAATGGGGTAAATTAATTTCTGGTGTTGTTGCATTAATTTGGTACTCAGCATATTGGGTCCAAATTTGCACCACTGTACACAGTACAAATAGGAGTGCCTTTTAATAACTATGACAAAAATACTCTTCCCACTGGCAAGGTCAATATTATTAATTGCTATTCCTATTATTAACCTTTGGGCTTGTGTATCCTCCATGGATTAATGATTATTCAATAACTGAGCTACAAGGTTAACTTTCTAATAGCAATTAATAGAAGGGCATACCGCTGGTTAACTAGGAAAAGCACTGACTTATCAACTTCTTGGCCTTGGTCTTGTTTATGAGACATGCAAAGGTGCCTACAGGAATTGTACCTGTCAGTTCCCAGAGCTGAAAGAGGAAATCTGCCTCAAAGTCGAGACAAATAAAAAACGGAGATTGGGCTGACATCCGGGGCCCCCTCTCTTCTCAGTCTCCTAGGGAATAAGAAACAGCCTCAGCTTTCAGGGAAACCTGCACTCATTGCCAGGGTCCTTCTCCAGGAAGTCTGCTTCCAAATCCTGCATCGACGAAGAGGGAGAAGAAGGTCTTAAAAACAAAAGAAAAGAGAACAAGTACTTCCCCAAGGAGAAGTTTCACGAAAAAAGGCAATTCTCAAACAGCGTTACCGAGGAACATGTGGTGCCGGGTAAAACAGCAGTCAGGAGCACCAGGGGTGATGAGCGGCGGGACCCGACCCCGCTCCCGGCCCGATGGGGAAGCGGAGGTGCTGGGCGGGCAGAGGCCTCCGGGGGACGCATCCCCAACCCTGAAAGGCCGACAGCGCGGGCGCGGAGCATCGCTCCCTCAGCTACTTCAAATCGCAGGTGGCCGTGGGGCACTGCCTGCCCGAAAGGGGCAGCCGCCAGGGCGCTGGGAGTAGCGGCGCGGGGGCAGGTCTGGAAATAAAGGAGTGGGGGAAAGATGGACAGAAGGGGGAAACCGGGGGCCGAGGAGGGCGGAGAGAGGGCCGGGGGCGCGGTGCCGGGGGAAGGCAATGCGGGGACGGCAGAGGGTTCCGACTCGAGTCGCACGGCGGCGGGGCATGGGGGGCGGTAGGGATGGACACTCGCACACCCTCACCCCTCGGGACTTCCACAAAGTCAGCCCCACCGCCACGCGGGGCCGGGAGCCGCCAGAGAGGAGGAGACGCCGCGCTCACACACACAGACACACGCCACCTCCGCGTTCCAGCCGCTGCTCGGTTCTTCCCCCCCCCCCCACCTCCCCACCGCCGCCGCGCAGGCAGGAAGCAGCAGGCGTAGAGCCGAGCGGCGGCGCAGGGCTCGCAGTCCCCCGGCCCCAGTCGGACCGGCCTCCCGCGGCCGCGCTGCCCCGACGGCACCGCCGCCCCCTCCCCGGGGGCAGCGCGCACCTCCCCGCCCGGAGGGGCTGTGCGAGACAGCGGGCGGGGGGAACGCGGGCACACACACACACACACACATATACACACACACGCGCACGCACACCGCACAGACACGCAGGCAGAGGCAGGGCTGCCCCACGCCGGTACCTTGCTGCCCTGGTGTTTTCCGTCCGGGCTCCTCCTTGCTGAGGCAGCTCGGAAGCGGAGCCGAGCGGGCGGGTGCGTGTGTGTGTGCGAGTGCATGCGTGTGCCTGTGTGTGTGTGTGCGTGTGTGTGTGCGCGAGAGCGAGCGAGCGAGAGAGACTCTCCCCCCTTCCCCTCCCCCTCCTCCTCCTCGCTCTCCTTCCTTTAAACGCCCACTCCTGATGGGTGAAAAGACAACTTGAACTTCAGTGCAATTAACTTCGCCGGCGCCTCGGAAGCCGGAGGTGTCGCCGGCCTCGCCCGCCGCGCTCCCATGAGTGAGTCGGTCCCGCTCCTTCGGCGTCGCTCCTCGGGGACGGGGGGGACGGGGCCGTGCCGGGGGCACCCGCCGCGCTGATTTACCGAGGCCGGCGGTGTCGGCACGAGAGGGCGGGCGGGGGGAGGCGCGGGGCGGGTGGCTCCGCTCGGCGCTGCCGCTGCAGGAGCTACTCGGCCGGCACGGGCTCACACCTGCCGCCGCGCCGCTGGCGCTCGCCGGCCCCGTTCCGCTCCGCTGCCGCCTCATCCACCACCGGCACAGGGAGAGCAGGGGGAATGGGTGACAGAGGGGGGAAAAAAGAAAAACGTAGAAGTTTGGCAAAGTTCTCACCCGGCCCCGCGCGCCTCCCGGCAGCGGCGGGTACGGGGCGGCGGCGCCCCCGACGGCGAGCGGTGCGGGGCGAGGCGGCGGCTCGGAGCGGGCTGGGGGGTCGCGGGAAGCCGGGTGGGGGGTCGCGGGGTGGTACTTCCGCGGGGCGCCGGGGTTGCCCGGCGGCCGAGCGGCGGCGGCTGGCCCAGCCGCGGACGCGCCCGTGGCAGTGGGTGGCACGTTCCCCCCGCCCGCCCGCGGCGCGACCCGGCGCTGCCGCTGTCACGGGGAGCAGTGCCAGGAACTCGCTCGCCTCTGTGCTCCTGGATTTTATTTTTGATTTTTCCGCTCCTTCTCCGAACCCGCCACCCGAGGTTTTGCTAAACCCTCGCCCCTTTGTCGTCGTCCCTGCCGGCTGCCTGGGGGAGCGCTCCTGACAGGCACCTGCCCGACCCGGAGTTTCCCTCTGCCAGTCTCCAGCTTTCTCTGACTGCGAGAGAAACTTCGCTAAAATGCAAGTTTGCTGAAACACTTTGCACCAGCTCCTAAGCTGAAATGAGTTTAAACTGAGGAAAGCTCTCCGTTGGTTTTAGTCCATCCAAATGAGCGCAGCACTTTTGAGAAAATAATTCTCAAATTCAGATGCAGAGACTCCAGGGCATGTGATCTGGAGGTGCCCTTTCATTCTGGTCCGTGCTGCTTGGGTGGGAGTTAGCAGCAGCCCTTTATTTCTACTTTATATTATTTTGGTACAGTGCATTCGTATATTTGTCTGCTGTAGTCTGCTGGCAAACATTAGCATTCAAGCTTACATTTTTGACAAATGTGCAGACAGGAATAGCATGAATAGGCATCTTAAATATTAACAACCTAAGCATCTGTTGTGAAACAAATTTAATATATTTACTCTGTTTTTCTCACATTGTTAGAAAAGGTTACAATAAGTGTAAAATTTCAGCTGTAGTTAGCACAAGGAATGCTTGGATATTTCACTGTCTCTTCAAGCATTTAACACAATCACCAGATAGAAATGTGTCAAATCAGGCGCACTATTCAAAAACAACTTGAAACTGTAAGTGTAGAGTGTATAGACATGAATGTAGGATGTTCACCGCAATTTCTATCTTCTAATTACTCTGCAGCACTGTTTGTAGAATTTGAGAGTGCTCTTTTCAGTCCCGTACTCCTCTATGCTCTTTAATATGTTTTATACATACACTAATTTTCTAATTCACTTCCTATTTGAGATTATTATTGGTAGTACCTTGCTTTTCAAGTTGAAGCAATGGTTTTCCATGGAAATGTGAAATAACATAGAGTAGGTAAAAAAATGAGCAGACAGAAAATGCGTGTTCACGTATAAGCATGCGTCTGAACAGACAACGCACACACATAATAAGGCAACAGAGGAGAAATTAAAATCACTGGCTAGTATGCTATGTATGCCCACTCCTGAATACAGCTAGTGGAAAAGAAACAACTGACTCCAAGGAATTCCTCCGTCCCTGGAATAAAACTGTTCAGAGTAGAACAAGAGCACAGAAGAGCGAAGTCTCCAAAAAGACTGTAGAGTTATTTCAGGAATCAGTGCATTCCTTCCCTTTTTCCCACAAGTCCAAATATGTAATAAATAAGTCCTTTGTATGCAAAAGAGTTTACTGGAACAAAAAATATTTAAATGAAATGCTTTTTGTGCATGCACTTTGAAAAACTGTCCATTTCCTTTTTACATTCTTTTTTCTTAATTCTTTAAATAGGAAAGTAACTCTTGCAGTTTCCCCTCGCCTGTTATTTTAGTGATTCGCATGATTCCTAACCTGCTGCTGTGCTTCTAAGAAAACACTGTAAAGCAGAGTCGATCTGTAACTCACTGATGGGACATAGTGCTTTGGCAGCATGAAAAGCAGAGAGAGACTGCCCCATCTTGTATGCGAGCAGGACACCTTTTTGGTTTGCAGCGTAGGCCCAGCAGGTCAGCGGATGAGCACCTGCCCTCTGTTCATGTGCTTCCCAAGGCAGGACAGGCAGCGCCAGCCCTGTCTGCAGCCATTCCTGCAGCCCTGCCAGTATCCCACGGGCACCGACCACCACGTTCAGCCCTGCTGGGGACATGGACAAATCCACCCCCGCAGCACAAAAACCTCTTACAGAGGTTTCTCCCGCATTTCAGGTTTGGGCTAGAGAGGGGTTTACTGCCATTTAGAAGACAATCAGCTGAAGTCTGATGTTCTTGTTAAAAAGCAAACCACCAAATCTTTTACATGTATCAACTATTCAATTTTTGGAAATATTGTCACCTTTTTATTGTCATCTGTTTTTTAATCTAAGCATTGTTGGAGAAATTTGAAGTAATTCTTTAGGTTTCCAGCTGTATTGGGGGAAAAAAAATCAAGATTATTTTATTAACAAAATAGCATGTAATATATAGAAAAAGTTATTAAAAGCAGATTTCTGAATTAAAACTGGAGGAAATATGACTTCTGAAATATTTTAGTCATATTTCTAGGAACTATGGTATTTTAACATAGACTCTAGTGAAGCATTTTATTGCCTTCTTGTGTATAACTGCCATTGCTCTCTCTAGATATATTTAATATATAACCAATGAAGCCACAAACTTTCCTTCTACAACAGTTTAAACACATCTGGAACGTTTTACTTTCTTATAATTTATGTTAATAGATGTAGAGTGTATATACAATCTTCTCAGACATCATTGCTTTTTCCAAAGGGGAATTTTTTTACTTTCAGTCAGGGAATATATTTATAAGAACAAAATAACTCAAAGTATAGGCAATTCTATATATCATTTTATTTTCTGTTATATTAGGTTGATTATATAAAGCTTTCATTTAGAGCAATGAGATGATGAAATTACAGAGGAGTGATTGGCTTTTGTTTTTTTCAAATGGTTCAAGTTGAGGGCTGCAAAAATGAATGTTTTTGGTAAAGTTCTTGAGTACATAATATTTTTCATAGAATTCTGACAAATTAATTTAATAGAAAAGCCACAAGTCTCTTAGCGTGGAAGGCTATATTTTCAGGTAAAATGGAAGTTCTGCTTTTGCCGTTATAGGCATCAGGCTTCAGTAATCTGCTCCTCTTGTGGAATGAACACTTTCTACTTAAAGCTATCATGCACCTACTGTTTATTTACGCTGCATTAAACTGACAGCACGGCAATCAGAGGAAAAAATATGACTTACTTTCCTGAAGTAAACACCAGCTTATAGGTTAGTGCATGTATTTATATTCCTGTCGCCACTAAATAATGGCTGTCTCCAGTTTAATATCTACCTGTGGTGTTACCGAGGGCTGCTGGCTCTTCCTTGTTTAAAATGAGGAAAAAACGAAGGGGGGGGTGAAGAAGAGAAGAAAGTTTTGTTATCATTCCACTCCAAGAGGAACTTAACAGAAAAGTGATTCGGTATTCCTTTCTGTGGCATGCTGAAGCCAGTTTTAAAGACATAGTATTCTGTTTTACTTGGTGTAATTGAATTACATCTCAAACAGGGAAAACAGAATTCCTTAACAGTATTTGTCTATCCAAGACACTGAAATTGTATATTCAGGCAATGGCAGATTAAGGGCAGAAGCATTTTATTAATAACTGAAAGCACATATGTGTGTGTGATGAAAAATGTTCTGCAAATCTGTCACTATGCAATCAAGTGCATTTTTTAAACTTTAGTTGTCACAAAGTTGCTACTGATTCTAAAAAAAAAAAAAAAAGTAAAACAGTTTGACGGTTAAAGAGTAACTTACTGTTCTTACTGCCTGTTATACTGAAATTCTGCAACTTTATAAAGTCCATGTCAGAAAGCCCTGTTGATATTACTTTTAATCTTGGACTAATGCATCCAAGTACCTGGCATTTGAACTGAAGATAACTGTAGTCAGAATAACCCATAGTTTGCAGAAAGCTTCCCTAAATTCTCTGTTGGAGAATTACAGTAATAACCTCTACATCAGAGGTCCATTTTTTCCTCAGATTCTGAAATTATTACTTAACATTAAGTTGACTTGTTTGTCAGTTCCCGTGGCAGTGGTATCCTTAACTCTCAATAACCCTGACCATAACTTGTAACTGTTACTTCCAAAAGGATATACTATAATGTATAAAGGATACACTAATAATACTAAATTTCCTTCAAAAATGTTGGTGTTTTTGAATATTTGCCATCCTGTGGCATGTAAGTTAACCACAGTTATCACCAACCCTTCATTACTTAATTGGTATCCATTCTGTTGCTTTGCAAATGTCTACTTTCTAATGGTTTCTGCACTGCATTGCTATCAGTAGGTATAAGTCTTGATAAAGATTAATTTTAAGGAGACTTGTCAGTACTGATCTTGTACATATGTTCTGATTTGGTCCTCGTGCCCTGAACCAGCTGTAATCTACTCTTAATCTGTGTTATCTGGTGCAGTATAGTAGGAATGGCAATGCAATATAGTAGTAATAGTAGAGTGTAGTAACAT